CTGGCCAGTTTCTTGCAGGGTGTTGTCATTTGGCCACAGGGGTGAGGCTCGGACAAGTTCGAGTGTCCCGCAAGCCCTGCGCCGCACATGCGCAAGAACGGCACTACTGCTCCTCCTCCTCCTCCTCCTCCTCCTCCTCTTCCTCGTCCTCCTCCTCCGCCTCCGCCTCCGCCTCCTCCTCCTCCTCCTGCGCCTCATCGCCTTTCGCACATCCTCCTTGTCGCGATGTTCCACTCATTGCCCTGTCCTTGTAATTCGTTCGGTCAGCTACAGGGCACAGCTTTGGTTCTTGAAGAGAACGCTTCATGAAGTGTCGATCTTTGTCTGACAGTTCTGACAATCGTGCATTGGCCACGTAATTAGAGCATGATGAATGCAGCAAATCAGCAGGTACCTGTCAGGAAAGGCTGAGCTAAAGCTATTTCACACAATTACTTAGGGCGAAGAAATTCGACTGGTGATCAGTGCATGTTTGCCATCGCCGCCCCCATTAGAGGAGCCAGAAGCTGATGCCCAGAATCGGACATGGTTCCAAATCCAAGAAGTGCAGTAGCCTGGGACCCTGAACCCAGAAAAGTCCCCGTACATATATTGCAGAGAGAGCAGCCGACCCAGCTCGTCGCACCTTGAACGCACTGTGCCGAGGAAGAACTCCGTGCGTTGGATCATATGGACCCCTCTTTCTCCCTCGCCATGACCATAATGTTCATCTTCGCTTTCGACACCAGTTTAATGATAGCACAAATTCGTGTCAAGGGCTCGCATTCCAGCGGCTCCATGCCATGCTTGCAGGAACAGAAGAATTCCATCCATGGACGACTCTTTTCAGGAAAGAGAGGCCTGTTTGCAGGGCCTCGGTTTGTGGGGCTCGGGTGCTACACCGTTTTCGCGAAGGGGCTCCCAAGCTTCTCACATGGGCTGGGTCAGGTGAAGTTGGATCTGCTCTCGGAAACGCATGAATACTGAACGACTGATGATACCTCATCCACGGATATCCACCGGTGCCTGCCCAGGCACCCAGATAGGGTCCTTAGCTGCTTTTGCCCACTCTCACATGCAGCCAAGATTGAACTGCCAATCCGTCTTGCAACCACTTGCAGGCCCGTAATCCCTTGCACTCACTTGTTCGTGAACCTTCCCACGACACAACTTAGAAATGCTGCTACAAGTACGCGTGCCCAAGCTGCCGCCATATCCAAACTTGCCCGTGGCCCAAGCAGTCGCCTTCAACACCTTCAAAGATCGGATCTCCGGGTGCGAACCTAGGGCTAAGCTTCACAGTGTACCGTGTGCGGTTTGCGATTTCCAAGACAACCATCAAGGGTCCTGGGACGCACTCCAAACACACCGAGAACTGAAAGCAGGGGAGGCTTCGGCCACCTTGCAGGTTTCGCTTGTCAACAGATGACGATCTAATCGACGTTGGCACGGCTGCGGCCTGGGCGTTGTCGGACAGCGCCAGTGCTGCATAGATATTCAGAATCCAGGCTGCGAAGGAGATCCAAAATGACGTGATCATGAGCCGGCCTTGGTAGCTGGGCGCAAGCACGTTTGTGTTCAGGACGTGTCAAACACTTACACTTGTACACAGACTGCTGGTCTAGTTAACACATGTCACAACGTGCCAGTGCTGGCACAACTACAATGCTGGCAACAACAAGACTGAAGAACACGGACACAAAAGCAATATTGACTTCAGTAGTAGAAGCAGCGGTAGTAGCAAGAGTGAGAGGGAGCGGCGCCGATGTCTTCTTGCTGTGATGGTAAGCTCTCAGCTTCACGACTTACAATTGTTCTGACTAACTACTGCGGTCATTCCCCAAGCAGCGTGCTACACGTGACGGGGTTCTTACGTTGGAGGTAAGAGAACTGGTTAGTGTTCGTCCAGTGGCGCTCCCGCCGTGGCGCGGTGCACCATTTGGGCCCATGTCTCCAGTGCCCACATTATTTACACGCGATCCGTTCTGCCACGTCCTCGTATCCCGCCAGCAGCTGGACTTTCCTTAAGGTCTCTTGGTGGTTTCCTAGTCTCCTCGTGGTATCCGGTGGTCATGATCGTAGAGGTCGCTATGTGTCATGGTGGTCCTGGCGGTCCACGTGGTCGTGGTCGTCTTGGCCGTCGTGGTCGTCCTTGTCGTCGTGGTGCTGCACCACTGTTTGGGAAATTCGCTTGCGTAAACAATCATAGTAACACTAGTATTGGTCGCATTGGCACGGTTAAGGGTAAGACTAAGACTGTTGTTACGAACCAAACAAAAAGCAACATACTGTTCATGATGATTCTAAATGGAGTTGTGATTGGATTATGCTCTATTGTTAATGTTGTTAGCTGTAGGTTCGTTTTGGCTTTAGCATTCGCACCGGTATTAGTGCTGAGATGAACTTAAAATTTCAGCATTGGAATCCGTAGTAATCTGCACAGCAGTACTAGTATTAGTATTCGTGGTGGCATTCGTACTAGTCTTGCTAACACGAAACGTTATTATGTTTCGTATTCGAGCGAGTACTAGCAGTTGCGGTGGTAGTAGTAGTAGTAGTAGTAGTAGCAGCAGCAGCAGCAGTAGCAGTAGCAGTAGCAGTAGCAGTAGCAGTAGCAGTAGCAGTAGCAGCTGTAGCAGCAGTAGTAGTAGTAGTAGTAGTAGTAGTAGTGGTAGCGTGGCAGTAGTGGTAGCGTGGCAGTAGTAGCAGTAATAGCAGCAGCAGTTGTATAAGCAGTAGTAGCAGTAGTAGTAGTAGTAGTAGTAGTAGTAGTAGTAGTGGAAGTGGTAGCATTAATAGCAGCGTTCGTACTAGTAATAGTAATAGCAGTGGTAGTAATAGTAGCAGTGGAATAGAAGCAGGAGTGGTAGTAGTAGTAGTAGTAGTAGTAGTAGTAGAAGTAATAGTAGTAGCAGTAGAAGTAGTAGTAGTAGAAGAAGAAGTAGGTAACAGTACGTAGTAGTAGGTAGTAGTAGGTAGTAGTAGGTACTAGTAGTAGTAGTAGTAGTAGTAGTAGTAGTAGCAGTGGTAGTAGGTAGTAGGCAGTAGGCAGTAGGCAGTAGGTAGTAGGTAATAGGTAGTAGGTAGTAGGTAATAGGTAGTCGGTACTAGGTAATAGGTAGTAGGTAGTCGTAGTAGTCGTAGGAGTAGCAGTAGTAGGAGGAGGAGTAATAAAATAAGGAGCACACGCAGAATAAGAAGAAGGACCACGACTGGGAGCAGGAGCAGGAGCAGTACTTAATGATTGTAGTTTTGCTGTTGTTCTTGTCGAGCAGTCAAAACATAGTAGTAGTAGTAGCAGTAGTAGTGGTGGCAGTCGTAATAATAATAACAGCAGCAGTAGTAGTAGCAGCAGTAGTAGTAGTAGTAGTAGTAGTAGTAGTAGCAGAAACACTAGTAGTAGTAGTAGTAGTAGTAGTAGTACTAGTAATAGTAGTAATAGTAGCAGTAGAAGTAGAAGTAGAAGAAATAGTAGTAGTAGTAGTAGTAGTAGTAGGAGTAGGAGTAGAAGTAATAGTAGTAGCAGTAGAAGTAGTAGTAGTAGAAGAAGTAGGTAATAGTACGTAGTAGTAGGTACTAGTAGTAGTAGTAGTAGTAGTAGTAGTAGTAGTGGTAGTAGTAGTAGTAGTAGTAATAGTAGTCGTCGTACTAGTAGTAGTCGTAGTAGTCGTAGTAGCCGTAGTAGTAGTAGTAGTAGTAGTAGTAGTAATAATAATAATAGTAGTAGTACTAGTAGTAGTAGCAGTAGTACTAGTAGTAGTAGTAGTAGTAGTGGTGGTAGTAGTAGTAGTAGTAGTAGAAATAGAGTAGTAGTAGTAGTAGTAGTAGTAGCAGTAGCAGTAGTAGGAGTAATAGGCAGTAGTAGTAGTAGTAGTAGTAGTAGTAGTGGTAGTGGTAGTGGTAGTATTAGTAGTAATGGTAATAGTACATTAGTGGTGATGGTGGTGGTAAGTAGTACTGCTAACAGTAGCGGCAGTAGTAGTAGTAGTAGTAGTAGTAGTAGTAGTTGCTGTCGTTGTTGTTGCTGTTGCTGTAATTGTTGTAGTAGTTGTGATGGTAGTTGCAGTCGTAATCGTCGTCGTAGTAGTAGATGTAGAGATTGTCGTAAAAGTCGTGGTGGGTGCAAGCTGCAGGAGAAACCGTCATGCCAGCAAGGTGGAACGATGGAAAGATCCAAAGTGGATATCTGCTTCAAGACGAGCCCGACCACGAAACTGGAGATCAGTTTGCCCCCTCCCCCACACCCAGACCCCAGCCGATGCATGCCGAGACACGCCGGTTCGCTCTGCCGAACGTGGTACCCGTGGCACCGCAGTGTCGGCAGCATGCCTGTCTGCTCCAATATGTTGCGTTTGAGCATTTGAAAAGGTATTCGAGGACCCTGGCGAACATGTGCATGCCTAGTCAAGGCCTCGTCGGTTTGACGGACTGTTTCCGGACTGAGCACGCAAGAAATGCAAAGTCCGCCACAAACAAAAACAACTCTTAGAGTAGAAGAGCCGGTGCTGGCGTGAGATGACTCTTTCATTTCGAGGCTTGGCACGTAACATATGTAGGGTAAGGCAGACGTGTATGTGTGTCTTTCGTACGCAACTTGCTGTCTCAAGGTAACTAAGCAGGCGGGCAAGTAAACCAGCAAGTAAGTAAAGTAAACATGTATGTATGTATGTATGTATGTATGCATGCATGCATGCATGCATGCATGCATGCATGCATGCATGCATGCATGCATGCCTGGATGCATGTATATCTTTGTGCATACAAGTGCACACATATGTCATTACATATATATATATATATATATATACATACATACATGCATGCATGCATACATACATACATACATAGATCCATGCATACATGCATGCATGCATACATGCATACATACATGCACACATGCACACACACATACATACATACATACATACATACATACATACATACATACATACATACATACATACATACATATACATCTATGTGTACTCACACATCTGTATTTACAAAGACTCATACATTCG